ATATATTTATTAACAAATTTATAGCTTTTAAACTGTATTTAATATCCGTAAATTTATGATGAAAATATTATTAATAAAAAACACAGATTATTTTTAAAGATTTAATAATAACCATTAATTTCAAAATTAAAAATAGATAAGTACGTAAAATTTCAGTTTAAAATATCTTTTTAATTTTTAATTCATGGATTTCTTATACTAATATGGTAATAATAATTGTATTAATTTATAATTAATATAATTTTCTTTGCTTGAAATTTATAAATATAATTTTTATGGGTAATTAGCTGTGATATTTTTGTAAAAATTCGAAATTAATTCGAATTATTTATGCAAACAATGGTTTGTTTAGTAGCAATTTTTCGGTCAACAATTGAAAATACTGCTGTTAAAAATACGTAATCGTCAACTTTTTTTAAATTACTTTCTTTCATGAGACAAAAAAAAGGATTAAAAGAGGCGTTAACATAATGTTCTAATTAACTAAGTGAGTTAAGATAAATAATTATATTTTTTGATGAAATGATATTTACCGTTAGCTTTCTGCATTTATAGAAATTTTAGAGCAGCGTTCAGTTTCGAAAATTTATTTTGCTGAAAATTTAAAATTTTCAAATTTCGAAAAGTGACAATTTGAGAAGGAGGCAGGTGGATGATAATTTTTCTTCTACGAAATAAACTTTTGTCTGGTAGGTCCAACCATATCGAAGAAGTTGAGAGAGAGTTCGTAAACCAAAAGAATCTCAAACAGTTTGAAATAACCGGTAAAACCTGTGTTCAGTGAGCTGCCACCCCCCAAATCCAGTGATGTTATACGACCTGCACCTAATTGACTAGTATACTAACTGCCTCAAACGTAGTGTCCCTGATACCAGGTCATCTCTGAGAGTATTTCAACCTTACTATAAGTCATGCGGGGTTCTGGCGTAGTGGAACTACCTTTTCCTTAGCAAATCATAATAAAATCTTAAAATTCTCAAGAAAATGATAAAAGAAACGAAATTTCATGTTTACCACCATAGAGGAGTACCATATCGTGTCCAAAAACAATTTAACTTACAATAAAATAAAAAACAAAAAGAAAAGTTATGCTTTATAATCAGTTTTTATAAACCAGTAAAATTCACATCGCTTCGAGATATTCAAAAAACTTTCGCAATGAAATTTGTGCAATTTCAGAATGATCTCTTAATATACTTTTTGATTCGGAACACATTTCAAGAACTTGGAAAATTTCCAAAATGTAGATTGACTGAAAGCAAGTAGGGAATGCGATAGATTGTTCTCAATTGAGAATAGGTCCCTATTTATGTCACTTTTTTCAAAGTTCATAACACATTTTTAAAGTACATAATATATATTTATTTTTTATACAAACAATACGTTAACGCTAATGTGATAATAAGTTTTCAAGGAATAAATCGCCAGTAATTGGAGGATTTAATAATTTTAATATAACACGCGTGTACCTTCAATCGTATATATGTAATTTAAAATTTTAGACACCTAAAAACATATAAAAGAGAATTACAATTAAAAAATAAAATCTAAATTTAAACATTTTATTTTGTGAATTAAATAATAATTGTTGAGTACTTACGCACCTGTTTCAAATTTTTTAAAAATTATTTTTAAATTAATTTTGTATACATACATATATGAGCGTTTACAACCATTATAAAATTTTACTAATTTTAAAATAAAAAAATTACATTTATTATTAGAATCTTTCGAGGTATTTTTAAGTTTTTTAAAGAAATATTTAATGAACTATCGTCATTAATAAACGTAAGTAAGGCAGATTATGAGGACCTACGTTTTTTTCTTAAAAACTTTTTAACAATTTCATGAATATATTTGATTACTGCATTAATTTAAATAAATTTTAGTATAAAATCGAAGCACTTATTAAGGGCTCGAAATAAACAACAATTTTAAAGAGTTCATTATATATTAATTTGGGAAGCACATACATCAAATGTGATAGTAACATTATTCTAATAGTTAGAGACTTCACTTCCAATTTCAAGATATTTTAAAATGCCAGCCTTATACAATTCCAATTAAAAGAAAGTTTAATCAAAGTACAGCCTTAATTTTAAATATTCACTTCTTCCCTTTCCAAGAGTTATCCTAAATTTGTATTTTTATAATTATAAGTTAATATCATAAAGTTTCTTCTTCTATTCAAAAATGTAAAACATAATGTAATTAAAATCAAGTTTTAGTGAATATATTTTTAAGATTTGTAACTTTTTTTAACAATTATTACAGTTCAAATAACCTGAAATTATTGTGGTTGAAATAAAAAAAATGTCGTTTTTGTTATTATTTGTTTTTAGTTAAAAAACTTATTGACTTATATTTCATTTTCTTGTTAAACCACAATCAAATTTATACTTACTTTAAGTTGAAATACAAATATTTTATTCCTTAGGGCATTATAAAGTTCATATCGGAAAGTTTTATTAATTTTTTTTTTATCATACTGGAAATCTAAAAGTTAATTCGAAAATAAAACTTGTTAAACTATTTGATTTTTTTTTATATGCCTTAGAATTTAAAAACATTTTGCGGTAGGTTAATAGGAAGTTGAGGAAATCAGGAAAATAAACAAACTTTTCATGCAATTTAACAAGATTAAGTAAGTTGATGATATGAATACAACAAAATTAATCGACATCATTCTAGTTTTAATTTTTCATATTGTGTGGTTTGAAAAAATTTTCAAGAATTTTGTTTTAATTTATTTTATGGAAAAAAATTTCACTTCGATTAATATTAATTATTACATGCAAAAACTTGGTTGAGGCTAAAAAATATATTTTTTACTGTTGAAAATAAAGTCACCTAAATGTTTTTTTTTTTCGCTACAAGTGTATAATCTCCAAAAACTACCACAATTTTCAGCAGCCTAACAATTCGTTTAAAAACTAAATTAACACATGCCATTGTTTTACAAAACAAATATCTAAATATATTAAGTTACTAATTTTAATTATTTAACTATTCATTAATGTTATTAGAATTAATTAATATACCATTAGTGTAATTAAAATATAATATATAATTATGGAAAAAATTATTTTGAAATTTACAAAAATTTTGTGGTTTAGTCAATAACACCCCCCATAGTGATCTATTTTTAGTATCATGCACAAGATTAATATTTACAAAAAAAGAAATTAAATACTTCTATAATTTTTATATTTCTTAGAAATTTACGTACATATATAAGCATAATTAAATATTTTGTTCTTGTTGTTTTTGTAAACTACTTACTATTTAGAAGCTTTTTATATTAATATAACTTGAAGATAAAAATTATATATGTTTATTATTATGGAATTCATTCCATACATCCATAAACAACTTCCATATATATTTACTGTACATAATAATGTTTCTGAACTAACAATACATGTAATCACAAGTATCTATTACTCAATAATAATTTTAGACGTGTCTGGTTGAATACGAAATAGTGTACCTACGTGTTGGTACGTAAAACGTTAACATTTATCTAATTTATAATCGTTTTTTTTTGTTAGTAATGTAATAAAGCTCATAAAATTTTAATCAATTATAATGTGTTAACACAATATAATTCATATCTACAAATTAAAGTGTCTTTACATACGTTCATATTTATGAAGTCAATAATAGGAAAATCAGATACATATTTACAAAAAGAAAATTTTTAAAAAATTAATTAAATAATCTATCACCTTCAAAAACAAAGTTGATTAAATCTTGCATACATTTTAGAAAAAGACAAGACACGTAATACGGAGACATTCTTCTCACCCGAACACTACATTATGCAAAGATATGTCATTTTTACTTTTTCCTCACTTGATGAGTAAAATAGCGGGATACACAATCAAGCCCTTATTTTTCTGTTGTTTGACAACTTGCTTACTATCAGTTTAGTTGAAATTAAGAATATTTTCAAAATATTCTACATTCAAAACGTAAAAACAAAATTTAATACACTAAACTAATAATATTCTTCAAACGTAAAACAAAAAACTATTAAATTGGCTCCTAAGCCACATGTAAAATTGTAAAAGTATGCAAAAGTGACTATGTTTATAATTGCATACTCGGCGTACGTCACACTTTGACTTGTTTATGCATATTTTATTAAATATTTGTGAAATCGAAGGTTTTTTTCTTTAATTTTTCTTTTGTTCAGTATACTATTATTTACACATTCAAATACAATACAACTACTATTTGATTATCCAAATTTTTTGTATCACGTACATTGTAAATTGATAGTATTATGCACAAAATATTTTTAACAATTATTATATATTTTTTTTTAAATAGTATAATAAAAATGAAATTTTTTCTTTTGTATTGGAATGTTTAATATTACTAGTATGTTGATGTTTCTATAAGTATCTATATAACACTAATAATTAAGCTACTATATTAATATATACATATCTATTATATTAAAAATGTATGTATAATTTTTAGGCGCTAATAATCACATTTTTATACATTTTATAACATTATTTCATTAAAGTATTTGAGCCCCTACAGTTTAGTAACTTCTATATACAAAAATTTAAGTATTATACTTATACACGTAAAAAAATGTAATGAAAATTAAAAATAATGTAATAAAAATTATTACGCTCTCTACACAAAGAATAAAATTAATGTCGATACATAAATAAATTCACTAATAAACCAAGCACTCACTATAGGTAATAAAAAATAAAAATAAATACTTTTTAAAATTTAATTTAGAACCTTGAGTGTATTCCTGAATTATCGAAATTCCCTCACTATTTGCAAAGAATTTATTAATTGTTTTAATACTACTTGTTTGCGATGATTAGAATGCCTTAAAGAAATCAAAATTTTAGCGCCTCTGCCATATATAAGTATTTTATTTGTAGCTTTAAATACTTTGAATAAGGAAATTTTTTTTGTGGTTCCCATGAGGAAGTCTTATTCCTGAAAACTTTTAATTAAAAATAAACTTTTTAATTTGATCAATTTTTTTTACTTTTTATTATCTTTACTTTCTTTTCTTTTTCTAAAAGTGTATTTTTCTTGTTTTCTTATTTTTTTTTTCATTTTAAATGTTTCTGCTTTCACAAATCGTTTTTATTCTTTTTTTCTTGGATCTCTAAATAATAGTGGTTGAATTCAATAATTTTTGTTTTCGTTTCTTAAAAATAAAAATGTATCGTAACATATTTATGTATTTTATAATTAATGAAAAGAAAAACTGAAAAAATACAACAGGAGTCTTTTAAAACTTGAAAATATTTCTATTTTGGAAAACGATATTTAAAGCAAAATAAATTCATTCGTCCTAAAACAAACTACAATATGTTTTAAATTCATTCAGTATGTAGGCAATTAACAAATTAATATTTTCTTTCAAGTTAATAACAAATAATCTTAAATTACAAAAAAAAAAATATTTCTAAGTATTTTTCATCACTAAATTTTTTACAACAGTGAAAAATATTTTATAAAAATATTAATTTTCATTTATTATTTTGGAATGATAAAGTTTTTTCTTTTTATGATAAAAATTAGGAATCATTATTTAAATTTAACCTTACTTATACAATATAATAAATAATTGTAAAGGGAAAACAATTTTATATCCATTGATTGGTGATGTTGAATTTTACGAAAATTTTAAATACTTATTAATTTTTTTTTTAAATATTTAATAGTACAAATATATATGTTTTTTAAAAATATGTACATATATACGAAAATATTTAAATGCACAATATTGTATCGTTTCTTACTACTCTATTCTTTGAAAGGATATGAGGTTGTTAAAGAAATTGTATTACAAAAACGTCTTATTACAGCCATTAGAAATTCATATTAAATTCAAAGTTAATCTCATATTAATGGGATAAAAAATTATTAATTTATTTAATGACAAGTAAAGAAATGCATATTAAAATATGATTTTAATATTTTGTTATACTTATTACATGAAATAATATAATTCTTAATACTCGATCACTTTTCTTCTTAGTTTTTGCATATGTATAAAAAATATTTATTTAATAAAATATTATATGGAAATTAATTCTTGAAAACTAAATAATCTATAGAATATTTAAGTTAAATATGAATATTAATTAGCTGATAATAAGAAAATTTCGGATAATCATTAAAATAATCTAATAAATTAAAATATATGCTGTTTACAATGATATTTTATATATGAATGAATTTATTTTGCTTACAATTTTATTTATAAAAAAAAAAATAGTAATGAAAATAATTTATTAATTTAAATATTAATATAATTTTAAAAATTTGTTTATTTTGGTTTCGTTCTACTTTAAATATTTTGTAAATTTTTTTTCTTTTTATTAAATAATTTTCTTTGTTTTTTTTTTTTTCTTTTTTTTCTTTTACGTATATGTACATAGCCGTATTCCTTAATCATTTCATGTTTTTCTATATAAAGCGTCTATATTATAAATATATATATATATATATATATATTACGGTAAGAGTGTGTATTTTGGGATAATTTTTAGCAAAAAATAGATACCTACATTATCTAGATTCAATTGCAAAACGTGCATAATTAATGCTTTATTTGTATTTTTAGTTTTCATGTCAATTTATTTACCTAAAAAGTTCATTATCTTCCGGTACAATATATATATATACAATCAAATATAATTAAAAACAAAACATGATATAAAAAAAGAAACAAAAACATGATTTAAATTTTGTCATTTTGATTAATTTTTTTAATTTTTTATAGCAGGAATTAATGAGATTGAGATATGAAATCAAATAAATGAAAGAATAATTGTTAACTTAAATTTTTTTATAAATTTTAAACAACTCTATGAATTGAATGACAGAAAATAGGAGAGTTTGTTACGTGAATAGGTTACACAATTATGACTTGTTGTCACATTAGATGCTGTTGTTTCATATTGTAGATATAATGTAGATACACTTATAATTAGGAGCAATTTCCCATTAATTTGGATACGATCGATAATCCACAGTATGCCAACTTATTTTTAATAAAAATTTTTGACAACAAACGTTTTAATATTATCCCATTATAAACTATAACCGTAATATTGAATATTATCCAACTGAATGAATTACATTGTATTTCGTTCTCATTTTTTTTTAACTTAAATCTAGCAAAATAAAATATAATGAAGGCTTTACATTGTATCCCTTTTTTCCAACAAATAATAAAAAATACTTTGTGTTTTATGTTTTTTTTTTCATCAAATATTTCCCCAAATATATAATATATATGTTGTATGTATATAAATTTTTTTGTAACATTATTTTTTTGTTTTACTTAACACCTAATTTTTTTTTATAAATTAAATTTTTAGGTCAATAAATCTTGTTTTTTTTTTTGTTTTTTCTCTTTTTTGAAATTTTGATTTCTTTTAAATTTGAATCAATCAAAAAACTAAATATGTATGTAAGTATAATTTATCTTAACATTTCTTTTTTTTTTTTTTTGAAAAATAATTTACATTTATAATATTAATATATAATTGAAACATTTTATTAATTTTTTTACTATTATCATAAATTAATTCCTTTTTCTTATAGTGTGGTATTTTTATTTTTTTCAAATTTTCAATTTTAAAATGAATAATACATTAGAAGCAGAAGCATTTTGCAAAAGCGAAAACTTTAATCAATATCTCAGACTTTATTAAAGTAGAACAAGAAAATAACCAAAAACGAATACAACTACACTCTTCCTGTTTTCTAAATTACCGGTTCCAAATTTCTACTTTTCATAATGAAAATTAAAAAAAAAATAAATACCTTGCTGGGTATAAAAATAAATTTAGCAAATGGAAAGAAAAATTACAATTTATTTGATTATTAGCTCTTTGCGTTTCGCTTTTATAATAATAAACAATTAATTATTCTCACAAATAGTCGAGCAGTGGGGCAGTATTCATTTTCTTCTGCTTTTAATGTGTTTTCAAATATTTTTTACATATTTTATTTTTGAATTAAATTTCTATCAAAATGCGATAAATTTGTTCTGGTTGGTTTTTTTTTCTTAAATAAATATTAATATCTATGTAATATATATAGTTTACTTGTTTTTTTTTTTTACCTAGGTACATTTACTTATTTTTGACTTGCAAAATATTGTAATGGCCAAGCATTTACTTTTTAAATAAATTTTATTTTGAGGCTAAGTACCTAATTTAACTAATTTTTTTTTTTTATTTTTTCTGTTTATTTGATTCTTTTCTTCAAGAAAAACAAAAACTAGAAACTTTTAACCATTTCTACTTTTTCTTATTATTAAAAAAATAATAATAATAATTATTAATAAAATTTTCTGAATATACATAATACATATATTGTAATATAATATATATTAGGTTGAATAATTTAGAATTAGACTTTATCATATTTAATGAGCTTTTACTTTTCCAGTTGTAGCATCCAGATTATTTGTAAAATCTACTTTGGTTTTTGTTGATTCTATTCTTGATGATGACGGATCATAAATGTGTTTTTTATGGCTTTCCCTTTTGGACGGTGATGGTGATATATATGCTTTATAGAAGAATCTTGCAAATAATATAAAATAACTGAAATACATGACTAGTGATACTCTAATATTTGTTGTAGATATATGACATGCTTGTCTTCCATGTGTTTGTAGAAAATCACGAGCCCATACATTAATTGTACAACCAACAATCATTTGAATTAATTGTAATGTTGTTATAATCATTGCAATAAAACGTGGTGGTTGAAATTTAGCTGCTTTTAATGCATAATATGAATACATTATGGAATGTACACAATAATTCATAACAATAAACCAACGTGCTGATGCTGTATACTCTGAATAAGAAAACCATGAATACATTAAAACAGTAATATGATGATACCAATGTAAAAATATTAATGGTTGTTTTCTTAATACAATAAATATTGTATCACCCAATTCTGGTAATTTTGATAAAACAAATAACCATGTCCAAAATCCACTAACACGATCTTGTTCAATAAATGTTGGTACACATATTGAATGATATAAACCATAATTACGTAATACATGAATTAATTCGGGTGCTGTGCGTGTAAAACCCATAAAACTGAACATTGCTAATGCTGTATTCCATAATATTAATAATCCTCTTAATTCATATTTTGGTCGATTTTTCATAAAATGTTGTACACCAAATATAACCATAATATATGCAGCACTATAATAAAATACTAATGTCCAATTATCAATCATCCACAGCCGGGTTTTATAATGAACAAAATCATTCTCAAAATTAAATATATAAGAATAATTTGGTGTAACACTACTGGTATCCATATTCATGTTGAATGTGCTTAATTTTTTTTTGTTTATATAAAGATTAAATATTTTTTTTATTTAGGTAGATAGGTAAATGTGTAAATTTTTTTGAAATTTTCACTTTTTTTTTTTTGTTTTGTTGTTTTGTTAAAGAACAATTATTATTAATACATTTATGTATTAATATATTATATAAATATAACAAATTAATAAATTTTTTTTAATTTAAACATGAATCATTTTAAGCAGTTTGAAATTTAACGTAATTGAACACTGTGTATTTTCAAACCGCACCACTTAGTAATTATTATTTTTATTACTTTCGTTACAAAAAAAAACAAACAAAACCAAAATAATAATAAAAAATATTTTTAAAAATTCATAAATGATGTATAAATAAGTGAATTCATGTATAAAGCCTCACTAAATATAAAATTATTTTACAAATTTAATGCAAATTATTGTGCAATTTTTACAAAATATTTTCAAAAAAATTATTTTTCCTTTTACAAGAACAGTTTAGTTTTAGCGAATACGACAGACTGACTGAATTTATAAATTCAATAGACAGAGCAGCAACACGCGATCTCACCGGCGTAAGTAATACGAATAAAATGAAGCTTTTAAGCTTAGCTTTATTAACTTTTCAAATTTATTTTTATTTTCTTGTTAAACATTTAATAGCTAACAGCAGATGATACCACCCTACTACCTATAAGTAGTATTTTATTAAATTTTAGTATATTTAATTCATATAAAATACAACACGATACAAATAAAAATTTTAGTTGCTCTCTAGTTTAAATATGTTTTGGTTGTTCAACAATTATTTTAACCATGAACTTTTTGTGTGATTTGATTTCCTTTCTCGTTAAATTCCGATCGATTATTTTTATCATACACTTCAAGTAGGCAAGCCAAAAATATGACGATTAAAAATTTCTTTTTGGTAGGTAATCAAATTTTTCCTTCCTTTTCATATACAAAATATTACTCTTTTTAAATATTTGATGAGGAATGAGTAGGAATGTGAAATTCGTATGATGTGACTTTTTTCTTTATTATTTTCGTTTTTCTTTTTTTTTTCTTTTTGGTCTCTGGAGGTATGGTGGGCTGGTTAGTCAGAATTATTATACCTTGTGGTAAAATATGAAAACCGGTTTCATCAAAATAAAGCTTTCCAACAATTAATAAAATTGTAGCAACTATAATATATTGAGAGTAAAAACTGCAAAATTTTCTTTTCCAAAAAAAAAAGTTTAAAATGCGTTCACTGAATTAAAAATATTAATTTTTTTTTTATTACTTTCAGCCAGTGAGAAATTGCGATTAGATGTTACTGAAATGTCACTTCTTCGCGAACTGTCATTTTTGCGGAAAAAAAATTCTTATTACCCTTGCGCTCTGAATATAAATTAATAAAGTTCTTTAATGTTTATAAACATTTTTTGTATACATAAAAAGTAAAGGATGACGTAAGGCTTTATTTTCGTTTGGGAATATTATTGTGTAAGGAATTTTGTTGATATAATTTTTTTTAATATATTTTTTTCATAATTTCTCGAAATTTAGATTAAATATTATTTTGTGAAATAATAGCTATTGTCGTTTTTAATATTTTTAATAATTTTGTGGTAAGAAAAAAAAAAAATTACAAATACTTATGGCATCATAATAGAAGGGAAAAAAAATGAAAACGAAAAATTCATTCTCTAAATTACATTCATGTAAAATGGCATAAAAATGTAGGTTTTTCATATTTTATACGTAAATTTACCAATAAACATTTTAGTAATAAAGTAACATTGTGTCAACGAAATTATGTTTGAAAGATCACGTAACTTATAACTCCTGCAAATGTCAAAACCAGATTGTGTAAACAAACCCCAAATTATAGGTGTATAAATTAACATAGTTTCACTATAGAAAATATGATCTGTTAAAACTGATTATAGTTAAATTAATTTTAATTTACAGTTTTTCTTAAAGGAGTTTGTATTCTAAGTTGAATAATTGGACAGTTGTTGGAATTATATATCATTATTGTTACATTGAGGCTTTCTTTGGGTTTTAATGTTCTAATATATTACCAAATTTATTGATAACATCGTTTGAATATTTCTTGCAAGAGATTGAACTGCAATTCCATTCATGAGCAAAAGGAAATAACGTACTAAACTCACAATTGTCTAATTTTCAAATCAACAAGGAATTGACATACATATGTTTATCTGTGTATGCAAATTCAACATACATATGTTATATACACGTGTTTGTTTAAATATATCTAGACATGAATACAATTACTACTTGTGTTTACACGAGGGAGTTTGCATCAAAGGTTGACATAAATGTTTCATTTAGCTTTCTAATAAGGTTTTTTTTTTTGCAAGGGTGATGAAACATATGTAAGCCATTGATGCAAAAGTTTTACATGATATTGAATTATTTGAACTTCATTTTTCTTAATTTAAGTTTAATGTACTTTATTTTCTAAATAAATTTCAAAGAATTTTTTATTTTAATAATAAGAATAATTAAAGCTTTAAAAATCTTATTAATCTCAAAGCTTGTGGGTACGTCAATTTAATTTAATATTTAAATAAAATCATATGTATATGTATAATATATTAAATGCAGTAATTATAGACTATATTGCATAATGACTAAAATATAATATGTGTACATACATATGTGAGGTTATTGTAATAATATAAATAAATTATTTCTATAAATACTGAAAAGTGCGTCACTGTTTTAATTCATTTATTTGAAAACTTTTTAAATTAATTAATTATTTGTGATTTTACTATGTGTAATAATATAATACAGCTTTATTTATTCAACAAAAATAATTAAATATTATTGCAAAAGCTATAATAATATTGTAAAACAATTTGGTTCAATAACAACAACCTGGTAACCTTTTAATATAAATTTTATGCATATATGTGCATATTAACAAAAAAACAAGAAATAAATGAAAACAAAAATATTTTACGTTATAAATTTTTTTCTATTAATATAAAATTTTTATAGTAAAATATTTTTATTCAAAATGAAGCAAAAATATAATTTTAACGAAAATTTTCTGAAGTTTGAGTGACAAGTAACTGTCATAAATCATCAATCACTATGTTGAAATATACAAACACTCTTTCACACTTCTAACGTTATTGAACTAAAAAATAATGTGGATATACCTTTATATACCTATATTACGTTGTATATATATATATATTACCCATGCAAAGCCACTTACGTACACATTGATGTAAACATAATATGTAGATAATCTATACAAAATATCATCATGAAAAATCAAATTGATTCTGAAAAATATTTGAATGTAATTAAATTGATTGGGCAAAATTTACTTGGACATATTCTTCTTCAACTTGAAACAAAAAAATGCATTTCAACATCGAAATGTTTATATACATATTAACATATTATAATTAAAATATAATTGTATATATAAATTACAATAATGTTAATCTTAGATGTTTAACATAAAGATATACATATACATATTTCTAGTATTTAATGTACATACCTTGTTAAGTTTTTTTTGGCAGTTTCCTTTGATACCACTGTTTATATGTATGTACGTACACATGTACTTTTGCATGAAGAGTTGCATGAAGTAGGAAAAACTAACTTGAAAATGATCTCCTATATAAATGTATGCACTCAAACGCGGCCATTAATAAATAATAAAAGTTAAATCATGTATGTATATTATATAAGGAAATATATAAAAAGAAAATTTAAGATACCGTTATTAATAGGTAATGGCTTGGAATATTTAAACTTTTTAAAAACCTTGAAATTTCGCAGCAGTTTTTAGGTGTTTATATTGTTATGTAGATACATACATATATGGTATTTTCTTTCTATACAAAATAATATTTATATGTATGTATATGTGTCTAGATGAATTTAAGTATAATTTATTAAATTAACACTATTTATGAAAAATATGAAAAGAAAGTTATGAATACCTACATACAAATGAACATGTACACAATTCATATTTGCAAGTAGGCATGTACATATATACATACATACGTTGTGTAGATGCTATTGATGTTGAAGTTAGTACTGAAAGGCATACAGGTGTCTATTGAACAAAAAAAAATTCGTTTGTGTTCAATGAACTTCAATACAATTGACATAAAATTATTGCATTTTCTCAAATTACATAATGATATTATTTAATAACATTATTTTTAGTACAGTGGTTTTTATTCGGTATTTGCAAAATATATTGCACATCCTATATTTATTTACTGCCGCAAATCAAAACTTCTCTTTTTATACAACAATCTTACATAAATTTTTGTGTTGATCTTAAACAGATCTTAAATTTTAATATAAAAACCATACATGTATGTATGTATGTAGCAATTTACAAAAGTATATCTAATCGTATAGCCTGTTCAATTGAAGATTTGCTTTTAATGAATTTATTGTGTAATATATAACAAAAATTTCAAAATTATTTAGTTGGTTGCCAACTGTGACGAAAACATTACCATTACATAGTTATGTACTTTCTCTTTTAAAATAACATCATTATTGCAAAGTGTTTACACTTATATACATTTGTATTTAAAAGAGACCAACCTAGATTTATTTGCTTTAATAAAAGTGATAATTAATAATTTATAAAAAATATTTAATATTTTATTAATATTAAACGTATTGTAACAGAATTATCTAATAAAAATTTTATAAATGCACATATTTTAGCAATTATTTTACTGCTATAGCAGTTTACTTTAATTATTGTGTAAAATTCATTTATTATTTTAATTTTTTGTAAACCTATGTACATAATAAGTACATTAAATATATTACAAAATGAATATATATATTATATTCATTTTGTAATATATTTAATAAACACATTAGGTCAATTTTGTTTTTGAAACATATTGGTTCAATAAGGTGTTGAACCAAAAAAAATTTTTGATCTATAGAATTTTTGATTTCTAATTAATTTCTACCCGTTGCCAAAGCTTTTACATTATAAGTAAAAGCTTTGGCAACGGGTAGAATAAAAAGTCGAAATTTTGCAGGCAGTAAGAATATAATATTAGTAACATTATATGGAAATAATGTAGAAAAGTCTCTCACTTATTGTTTACAAATTTTTGACTTAATTGTCAAATGGAAATGTGCCACTCTTAAAAACTACCTTTATTTAGGCAAAAAAAATTTTTTACCTAAATACTTGACATGTAAACAAAAGTGTAAATAAGTATACATTCTATGATATTTACAGAAATCGCGGCATACATAAACAAGAGAATGTACGAAAAGAGTTTATCAAATTGGCAACTTGATAGAGTGACATCATTGGACACGTTCGAATTCATTAGTTTGGTAGTTACAATTCTACAGAGGGAAAAATAAAATTAAAATTTATTTTTTTTTTAAAACAATTAAAAATTAAGTGTCAAAAGTTGTTTAAGTATATGTAATATTAAGTGATACTTTTCCTATAAAATATACAAAATGAGAAAGTGTAAAGGAAAAAAGTGTAAGAATTTGGGGGTAGAAAGACAGGAAATTAAAGTGAGTTTCTATGACATGTGTGGAAACCATCTATTGTTTTCAATACCAGTAATATCTTATTAGTTTGTCTCTTACTATAATTTCATAGTAACTCTCTCATGTGTTTTGTGAATTTAATTATTGTGACTTAGTCTCGTCTTAGTTAAGTAGTTGTTCTTATTAATGAATAAGTGTAATTTCAACCTTGTATCGAGTGCAAATTTAATTCTTACAATGAAGAAGTGTGAAATTCATTTAAGAAAATGTCATTCCACACAGACACATAATACTATAATAAGTGTAGCACGCGTTAAAAATACAATTTGTGTATATAGTACAAAATTCATTTCGATTTCCCATTACAGTAGGTTCTTATTTTGAATTATAAAAAACACTCTTGATTATGAAAGTGTCAATTTTCTTTAAAGAAGACTTGATAAAATTTGATAGGGGCTGATAGAAACACTGATAAGAGTTTTCTAAAAAAAAAAAAACAAATAATTTATAAAAGTGAAAGAAGTTGATAAGATTGTGTGAATGTTATCTTTAAATTTTATAAGATAAGTACAAAAATATTAAATGAATAATATTAAATGATAATATTATAAACACATAAACACATACTAATAGTCACTTTAATTCGTTGATAACAAAAAACTTATTCGCTATTTTTTTTTTTTTTTTTTTGCAAAATAAACTTTCATAATAACATTATGAATACAATCATAAGCAAAAATCTTATAATAAATAATCCCAGTCTATTATAATAGAGGACGGCGGTGTAGTATGAAATGTTCAAATTTTGAACTTTATCG